AACCAAATAGTTTGATACAAATCTAAACCATCAACTGGGTTGGCTAGGTTGGCACCCCCCTCCATTCCACAGCTATGATGATTTGTGATTGGTCAACACTCTCTCACCTCACTATGATGTACTGTGTGTAACTGCTGTTTCAATTTATAAATATAAACAATTTATAACATAAAATCCAGACATGATTTTGTTGTGCATCTTCATGAATATTTGTGCAACAATACTCGTTTTCTAAACTCTGGTGTTGCTATGACAACCTTTTTTTCTACAATACCTTAGGATTGTCAATGATCTGTGTGACTGTCAAATCCCATGTGGTAAAAATCAAGTCCTTCATTTCAGCGCTATGACTATCAGATGGTTTTCTGTCTCGGTTCAAACGTCCCATGTTCATGCCCTGCATTTCCGAAGTCCTCCCCGTTGTCTTGCGACTCTGTTTCACCTGACTTTTTCTATACTGACTGCTCTCTACAGCATGATCGTCAGGGTTGTATGTGGTGTTCTGTGTAGTTCGTGGCCTTGAACTGTAGAGAGAAAGGAAGACTGTTACTGATTTGTCTTTTGGTATCATTTGATTGATCAGCGATAAAAGTCCAAGTACTTTGTATTAACCTTTTCACAAAATAGTCTTGTTTACAGTCTGCACCTTCATTCAGAAGATTTGGACAAAAATAACCAAATTGTTTGAGTAAAAACTGAAAATTTACTAAAATTGTGGCTATAAAATAATGGTTCATTTTCAGAAATATTGAAGAATATAAAAAAAAGTGCAGAATAATTTGGGTGAGAAAGTCTGGTGGTGAAAATGTTAAACCATATGTTCATTGTACATAGATGAGTTTAAGGCTACCTTGCATGTACATAGCCATAGAACACAAAATAGACTGGTTCAGAAGAAAAGAAACATTTAAATAAGAAATACGCTGAATGCAAGAAACTATATGTACTTCATCAATCTTTCTAGAAAGTAATTCTTAAATATATATACTGTAAAACTGCTAGGAATTGCTGTGATTTGTGAAGACCAAGTCCATGACATTTCATTCCTTAAGACTCCACAGAAATTGTTATTGCTACAAAATTTCACATTTGTCCCTGACTCTTGCAAAATTAAAACCATTTATTTATTACATGTGAAACTGTATTTGCTTAAAATTAAGCATCCATTAATTCATCAAACATACCTAAGACTGAACACAGCTTCCTTGATATCAGTGACTTCAGGAGATGTCTGCGGCCTATCACCTTGTCCTTTATCGCTCTTCAGTGTTTTAAACGTCTGGCTACGATTCAGTGACCGCTCAGCCGCACTTTGTTTATCGGGTGTTAATTCAATCACGCTGTACTTCTAGAGGGAAAAGTGAAACATTCAATATTTACACCTCACTAATGATGATCTCTGTTAAACATACTAGCTTGCAGGGAATTACTAGCGACCATATGATATATATGAAGGAATGTAGTCCAATACTGTAGAATACTTTATTTTATCTGGAATTGATTTTAACTGAAAACAGTTTATAAGCATTTTGTATGGACTTATTTTCACGGATTTTTGACAAGTTGAATGTAAAACATAGAAAAAAATGTATCAAAAGTGTGTTGGTAATGTCCACCCTTAATTTCTGAGCCAACACACTTTTGACCCAGGAATTTACTTCCAAACATTTTTCCTTGTAAATGGTTATTGGAAAAAAATTTGGGATACCAAAACTACTTTTTTTTTAATTTTGAGTTTAATATATGCATCATAACCAATTTTTAATTCAAAATGGCTGCCAAAGTAGAACTTAATCAATACCACGAGAATATTAAAAAGTCATTGTTTCCATGGGAACAAGTTTGAGTTTCCCTCTTTTTTATTGTCTTTTAGTCAATTTTATGGAATATTTCGCTCAGAGAAATATCAAGATTTTTATTGTCTTTTAGTCAATTTTATGGAATATTTCGCTCAGAGAAATATCAAGATTTAGAATTTGTAATGTTTTCAATGAATATTTTATCTGTTTTAGTTTCACCTTGAGGTTTGTTGTTGCTGCAGAGCCAGTGATGGAGCTCTGTAGAGATATTCCTGTATCTGTTGGCAAGTCTTGCATTGATGTCATGGTGTCACTGCCTCCCTGAGTCTGTGGCTCCTCTATGGTGGCTGTCGTTGTCACGGCAGCTGCTGATGAAGTATCCTTCTCATCAGGGTGTACTAGAGCACCTTGCCAGAAGGGATGATACACAAGTTTATTCCAGTCCATTCTAAGATGAAACATAAAGAAACTGGTGAAGCCTTCTCTTCATTAAACTGAGAAATCTGTTAGTATAAATCTCACCGAAAAATCTTGCTCATGCCAAGGATATCCATGAATATACTTTATTTTACATATCCATAACTTTAACATGTAAACATGCATTTTGTAAGTATATATTGGTAAAACTTTGTATTCAAAGATGTAACACCAAATCTCATTGTGAAAGCACCTATTACAGTGCAAGTCAGAAAGTTGTACCTTAATTTATAAACATATTTTAATAAAAAGTTGTAAATACTGACCATCAGCTTTCATTCAAATTCAAATATTCAATAGCAAATGGCTCTAGAGCTCAGCATTGTCCATAGCAATTGACATAGCAACTGTGATCACCCACCTTCAAAATGAATACTTACTGGTTGGATCTGATGTTGAGCTAACTCATTGATATTAATTTAATTTCATCATGATGTTACAATACCATTTCTGAATTCTGAATAGCCAAGAATTCTGAATTTGGCAAGAACCATTAGTAATTTACATTCTAAAGTAAGAATGGCATTGTTTGCTGCTGCTCTTATTAACATAATACCTGCTGAAACCTTCCACCAATAGACAACAGGAATGCGACAACACAAGCAGACAATCTGTTATATATTGTATACGCCTTGGGTAATTTAATCAACATTTTGTATTCAGATATGTGCTTGGGGATTGGAAAACATAAGCAAATGATGTACAATGTAAATTATATGGTCCTATGCGTTTTTGTCAAAACACTGTGTAAACCACATGGTCATATTAGATCAATCCAGACAACCGTACAGTAATAACCTACCTCTCGTCAGAGTTCTTCTTCAACAGATTATTCAATATATCACAGAATTCTGGAGATGGTTTCGGCCTTCTTGGGCCGCTCACTCTCGGTGCTGGGAAATCATGCTTCAAAATCTTATTTAATAAATCGGAATATAATTCGGCCATGAATGGAGGCTTTCCTGCAAGGAATACAACAAAATAATAAGGCAAAGTAGAGATTATATCAATGGTGCCTAAGCTGAGATTTTTCATAATTTTTTTCACATTTTTTGATTCATTTAATACTTTGACAAAATTATATTGTGGTATCAAATGAGTGAACATCTGGCAAAAGATGTCATATTCAACATGGCGTATAATTATAATAATAATATATGGAGCAAGCAAATAACTGAAAAAAATGTTGAAAGACCAACAAATTTATTTGCCAGCAATCTAGGTGCAGTTTACATCGACAGCATGAACACCCAAACACACCATGAACAAACCTCATGAGTGTTCCATTGATATAAAGGTCTAGCTCAGTTTGAGTAAAAAATGAGGAAAGAAACTGACAAAATATGAATCTGGTGCTCGCTTAAAAGGCGGTAGTCGTCACGCCACGCATGCGTGAGATATATGGGTCTCATATAAACAAAGATGGTGACTCTGACTGTTGCGCAGATCAGCGAGTACAAACTGAGACGTTTCCAAGCTTTAATTAGGTATTTTTTTAGGTAATTGGAAGGTATTGAAGGAGTCACAAGCATACTTGTGATTTCCATTAAAAGAGCACATTGGATTGTGGGAAAATCAATGTTTATCAAGACAAATGTCGCATGGTGCGACGACTATCGCGTTTTAACTAATCAATTCAATTACAATCAAAATCAAATTCCTGTAGACCTCAAATTATTCTCGGCATAAGCTCAATAGTTTCTACTTTACCTGTATACATCTCATACAAGAGACATCCCAATGCCCATAGATCACTAGCCATGGAATGACTACCACCATCTACTACCTCAGGTGCCATGTAGATTGGTGAACCTATCAGAAAATAAAGTAAGCATACCATTAGATTATTATTGTCTTTTGATGTCAATGACAGTAAAAAAAACAGTAGCAGACATGTTACAATTTGTTTTTTAAATCAGATGATGCCTTATTCTAAATATGACTTTAAAAGCATTGGTCATTCCGCCCTTTTCTATAGTCGCACAGTAATCAAAAACTAGAATAGTATGAAGAGGCATTTAAATGATTTCTCAATGTCTGTATTCAGGCAGTAAACTTTCCCAGGTTTTATAACAAATCAATCTACAAAATAGAATAACGCAGATGAAGACTTATTAACATTTGTACATATTGTCTGCTTTTGATATGTTACCACACACCAAACAAATTGTATGGTTACTTCTGAATCACTGACAAACACTATACGGTTGTGACATATAAAATTACTAGCAAACAGTTTTGCTTTGAGAAATGGATTGATAAATAGTGGAGAGTTGCAGGGAAGATAGAACCCCAGTGAACATATCACGACTACAAAGTATTGAAACTTTCACAGGTCAGTGAAATTAAAAAACAAACAAAAAACTTTTAACTTTTAAAATATTTTTGTGAGATTAATCTAGAAGAAAAATAATAAAGATTTCTAGTATCAATTTTGCCAGACAATTCAAAAATCTGGCTTAGAAATTTTAGACAAACCCACCTAAATATTTGCCCGGCCTTCGAGACTTTTCATTTTCACAAGAACTATCCGGACTACCAGAGTCACCATCAAATTGTTGAAATAGTTCCTCCAAGTCTTCATCTTCCACTTTTGACAAACTGAAATCGTCAAGTTTTAAAATACCGGTTCCGTCTAGTAATATCTGTAAATGAATAAGATGAATATTTTTACTTCTCACTAAATAACAATAATTGAAAAAAAAACATATACAATGTACCAAATTTAAGCTTTACTCAGAACTCTACTGAACAGTGAACAGGTATCTCAAAAATGTAGATTCAAAACTTTCGACTGAAAAATTACTTGCATTGCAAATGACTACTAAGTCTTAATTTTTGATGACCTGATTGCTAGCATTGGTCAGTGTTTTGTACAGTTTATGGCCTCACCCTTGCTGGTCTGATTGCCTGTACAGGTCAATATCTTGGCAATTTTTTAGGCCTTACCTTTCGATGGTCTGATTTTCAGTACTGCTTAAAGTTGTATTGTTGTCAAAATTTTGAGTAATATGTGTACTGTAATAAATGTATAGCAACTACCGGTAAGGTATTTGCAAGATATCTGTCCTGTCAACAGCCAAACATTATCGAACAGTTCCGTGGATTTGGTTGTAACTCCTAGTGTGTTTTACTCGCAAAATTATCTGTTCGATGGTTGACTATATTACAAAATTAATGTTCTATGTGAGGTATTTTCTTTTAAGATCAGGCTGAGATGCACACCAGACTCTTGAGTTGTTTCAAGCATAACCTGTAGGTTCATCGCTTTCTAATATATAAGACAACTGTTTTACTCCTATTTCCACTATGTGTGAGCAACCTTGAAATAGTGAACATTACGTACTTCCTAGGTTAGTTGTGATTAGGGTGCATGCATCCAGAGCAGAATTCGAACAGCAATGTATGGATTTATTGTAGTAAAAACAAATCAAACAGCTGATAAACGCTGTAATACAATGCATGTCTGCTTTCAACATTGAGAAGACTGACAATAAAACTTGCAAAGCTCGCCCATTTCATAAGACTCATATTATAATTCATATCTTATTGCTTGAAATCAGTCATCACTAATTCCTTACCTTTGATGGTCTTAAATCACAAAATATAATGCCAAGTGAATGAATATAATGTAATCCTCGTACTAAATCAATGCCAAATTTACGAACAGCCGCTTCTGGTAAATGTTCGTCTTGTGATATCAAAGTCTCCAGACTCCCACCTAAAAAAAGAAGCAATAAAAAAGTGTACAGAATTTGTCATTTGATTTTTGAGAAATTTCTAAAACCTAGTGGTGTAAGATTTCAATGAACAAATGGTTAGTAGCTTCTTTATGTATAACCCAAAGAAGAACAATATTTTTCTGCCCAAATTTTAGTGGGAAATTTCTCAAATTTTTATTTTTGTTAATTTTAGACCAAATTTAGACTGTAATTTCACATTACAGATCTTGATCAACACTTTTGAAAAATTGTGCAAAAATTTTATACGCAGTTTTATTTTGTGAATAAAGTGGACTCTGGCAAACAAAGGGTTAATATGCTAGACAATTATTCATTACTCAAAAGTTTTTATATTATGAATATTTAAGCCACATTTTTTCCTTCATTTCATTGGAAGACTTTGACATATACCGGGATGAAGTAATTAATCTCAAATTACAATTTTGGTATTCAAAAGATCCAATTAAGAAGGTTCTTGTTTAAAATTGAGTATTTCTGCTAATTCTTCTGATGGTCAGTTACTTACCTGTACATAGCTCTACAACTAACCATAAGTGATTAGTAGTTTCATACCACTCATGGAAATGAACTACATTAGCATGGTCAAGTTCATGAGTCAGTCGGACCTGTAATACAAGTGCATTAACAATGTTATTTGTCTGAGTAATATTTTGCTAATGTAAAATATACCAAATTTGGTGGGTGTATAGGTAGGTTTTTATTTTACTTATTTCATTAATACAACCAAGTGGTAGTCATTATATAAATAAGAAAGTACATAAAATAAAAAATTCAACATTGGTGGAATAACTATACCTAAATTAATTTGCATAGAAATACATACCTTTGAGCTCACCTATATTTGCATAGAATGAACTTTTCAATTTCCCCCAAAAACAAGTAAAGTAGGGTTACCAGAATTTGAGTTTATTTGGCCTAATCAAGGTCTTGGTGGCATATCTGTTGTATGTATGATAAGACTAGAGATTTATTATCAATTTAGTAATACATGTACAGGTATATACTTTGTTTGCATTCTGTTGCTTAATGCCTTGACTCATTGTCAGTGACAATCCTAATCTCACACTAGCATTCCAATAGCCAGTATGTACAAGAAGCAGTACATGTCAAAAAATTTCTCTGAAGAAAATGCCATTACTAAATACATGATTCGCATCTGACTAGAATCCCTATATGAGATATCAGGGTCAGAGAAATCTACATGTCTAAACTGAATTCATTTCATTTCATTTCATTTAGCTTACAAATACAGTAATTTTTTTAACACTACCACACAGTTAAAAAAATAAATCTATTTCAAATATCAGTCTGGCGAACCAGACACCTTATCATCATCACAGTCAACATACCATTGCATGTACAACACAATGTAAAAATGTTTGATTCAGCAAAATTTGAACGCTACACAGAAAATGTGGCATGTTAAATTCTTGAAACTGACTCACTCGCTATGCTAATTTATTCAGGGTAGCCTGTCAGGCTGTCAGTCGTACATGCATCTTAAACTGGACTCTCTTTAAAGTGTAAGTACAAATTACCCAGCAGTAATTAAACTGAAAGGCAATTGCCTTGTCGCCCAATAAGTTTTCATTACACCGGTTAGATATTCTTTATGTTATTCCTATATGATAAGACCTAATTATAAATTTTGGAGATGGAAATAAGTGTCCTCTCAACTCCGAAAATCAAGCAGAAACAACACACATGATTAATTAACACCAAGTGAGCAAATTTTACTCAATTTTTTTCAGTGTTAAGTGGGCAGCTGACCATACGAGTTGACCAAATAATCTCCCTTTTTTCAATTTCCTTTTTTCTCAGTTTCTACACTAATACACTGTACATGTATACCTACCCTATTAGTTATTTGAGGTCTTTTCACTTTCTCAATGCAATGTATAGCTACAAAATTGATGGTTCCTTTTCTTCTACCTTTGTATACTATAGAATGGTTGCCTTTTCCGATCTCATCGTATAGTACAAAGTTCTCCATTTTCAATTGCCAATCAATAGAACCCACCTATAACCTGAAAAAAAGAACATAGCATAACTATTACCGGTACAACCTTGTCCATTGATGACCTATAATAAATAACAAATGTGTGGATGAATAACAAACTAAGAATGCAATATCTTTTCTTTGCATGGTAAAAGTGAGTACATGTACAAAAATCATGAAACATTCAAATAATATATTATCTTGGGTAAAAATATAGGCTAAAAAAGTCATCATAATTACATAAATAAAGTAATTACTGTGGTCGTGTGAATGGAAAGGAATACCTAATTACCAACATCATCAGAAAACTTGCTAACAAATTGCCTGTGTTGATGTCTGGAGATCGTTATCAATTTGAAAAACTTTGGGCCACCTCATTCTCAAAAAGAGGCAATGGTATTACGGGCAATAGTAGACGGCAGTTTGAATCAGCACAGGCAATTCATTAGCAAGATTACTGACAATGTTGGTTCCTTTCATTTACGTCTCCACAATAATATTCATATTTCTGAAAAGATACTGTATTAATCGCAATGCTCTTCTAGAACAATATAACTTGAATTTTATATAAGTTTCAAAAAACTAATAGTTCAGCAACATATCTAAGTAAAAGTTGGCTGAGTTATTAGAATGACAAGCAAAACAATTTTAAGTAAAATTTAATAACTATCTTGAAGAATATACACAGAACATGCATCATGGTTGACTTGGCTGAGATCCCAACTTGGTAAATATAATATACAATTTTAAAAGAAATTGGATCAAAACTGTTTTGAGTTTTTTAGTCACAAGAAAAAGTTTTACAATGGAGTCATCTACAATGATACAGACAAGATAAAAATTAAGATAGACAAAATAATATTTAAACACTAGATTTTCTGACAAATTCAAGCAAAATTCTACCCCAAGCAAACACTAAGCTGAATTTTGAATTTTCAAAAACTCATCATTGTCATAAAAAATTCCAACTTACTCTTTGAAGTATTTATTCAAGTTATAATATGCGACATATTTAGGGCACATTACCATTTGCAAAAAAAATGTATATGAAAGTTTGTATAGCAAGCTAAAGTGGCGTAATCTGCGAATTGAAAAATAGTCACAAGAAGTTTGAGATGAACCCAAAATCGCAAAGAAATACTAATTAAAATGAGTAACTCTATGAATGAACTTTAGTTTAACTGTTTGTCCTTGCTTATTTACAAGGCATGTATCAAGTACATGCTTTTGGTGTTTTCTCTCGCATCGGTAGTCCGATTCGTTTATCTATTGGTAATCGCGAAACCAGCTATATTTGCTAATAAACTGTCATTAACCTGGCCGACATGGATTTGTGACATCCGGTATGGTAACTGACTACGTATCGTACTGTAGCTCTAGGGTTTCGCAATTACCAATAGACGACCGAATCAGACTGCCGATGTAACAGAAAACGCCAAAAACGGACACCAGTGAAACCATGAGCTACAGAACTGCAGCTATATGTTCATCCGACGATTTGGAAATCATTTCCAATTTCGTGAGTCTTCGATTCTGTATCTATGTTTTACCTACGTCACGTTTTACCTCGAATAATTCAATTACACAAATAATATGCAAATTCATACATGAAAACACTGCTTGGTTATAGTCATAATCATAAACTAACCTGTGCTTTAAGTTATAGTTCAACTAGACCGCCATTTTGTCTGTTTACGTTTTGAGTTGACGACTGTCACAGTGTTGTAATCAGCGCTAATGATCATACGTAACAATTTTCTATTCTTCAAATCACCGATGTATTACCAGCTCTCAAAAAACAAAGATGGATTCGTTCGAGGATTAAATTTGGCTTTGTAAACTATGCGATGGGTTAAGAAACGACAAGTTTGCTCTTGTCGCAAACATGTTCAGTGGAGTAATGAGACATCGAACAAATATCAAAAATGGTTTATTCCATTTGGTCAATGACGCAATGGCTAACCATTAGGTTGTTGTCGTTGATATGTCATAAACCAGTGTACAAACTTTTTTGAAAGTGGTAGCATACATTTTTACCGAATAAATGAGTAACTAATCAACAACTATGTGTATCAATGCCAGCTAGTTACCTGGTTTCCCAAATTGGTATTACCTTTTACCGAATAGTTTCACCCATGAGGGAATCCTTTGTACTGACACTCATTCGGGCATTTGGGGATTCCCTCATGGAAACCGCACACCGCCAGAGTTACGTAATTAACATCAGCAGTATAATCAGCACCGGATTCAGTTAGCTGTTTCTGATGGTGCTTGTTCGGTGGTGCTTGTTGTACTTGATTGCGTTAGAGTCGACCATATGATGGGTAGCTGGAAAAAAATGCGTGTCAATTGTTGCTGGGGAAAATGTTATCATACTCAATAAAAATAAAACTGTACAGACAAGACACTTCGAAAAAATGCTCTAGTCACATTCTTCCCATCACACCTATGATTTCAAATGTTTGACCCTTAATGTCTCATAATATGTTGAATTGAATTATCCATGAGAAATTATTGATGTCAATTCGTCTCTGTTCAGCGCCTGACAAGGTCGCCTGAGTTTAGTTTCGCCCTACGCGGTGCTCCAAACCCAACACTAAGACAATTTATTAGTTGTCTGAGCTCAACATGAGGTTTGATGCCATTCGGCCGGCGAAGTTGACACTCACGCCTACGTGTCAGGCTAGGGGCAATTTATCTGCTTGAGGAATTTTAACATTTTTCATGGTATAAATACTCTGAAACATTCGATATTATGGGTGCACAGATACAATTTGCGCCCTCGTGCAGTATTTCTACTCTGGCCAACACTGTGGGGTTATACCTGTAAACCACCGTCACTTGGGGCTGAAAATCAATAAATACTAATTTAAAAAAACAACAAAAAACATCCGCTACACGTATATAAATTATTTATATACGTATAAATTATAAATAATTTATATACGTATAGCGGATGATTTCTTTTTTTTTAAATTAGTGACTATGCTGTAAGCCCACGTTGTGTCGTCACAGGAAGCGCTTTCCCAGCACAGACCTGTGTCATATGATGCCTTACTAGCCGATTTTGGCTAAAATAGCGCTCCTCCGCCTCTTTACACGAGTGTTTATACACGGAACTTCATATTGCTTTTTACAATTTAAGTTGCCTTTTAAACACATATTTTAGCGAAACATTGTTTAGGGAGTGAAATATTAATGTCATACATAATTCAATCTTTGAAACAACAGAAACTAACACACAATAACGATAATCAAATTTGTGTTTGAAGTTCGGAAGTAATTGCGTAATTTCCGGTTTCAACTAGTTCGAAAATAGAACGTCCTTAAACGCGATAAAATCACGCGTAGAACGCCTTCAGACAACCATACACTAGTAGCGTAAACTTATTGCGAATTTGCGCAATTTGGGCCCAGTTTTCTAAGTTTCATTTATCATTATTTAGTAAACAAGTCCCCGAAACAATTTAATATATCCGTAAAATACGTGCCAATCGACGATTGACTTCGAAACGTCGAAGCTTCGAACAAACTCCCAGCACACCTTGCGAGATATGCGTCAGATCGGTGTAGAAAGGACGCCGACCTGCAGCGTCAACGCCCACACTATCTCTTGCTATTACTATACCATTACTATCCATTCTCTACTATCAGTCACAGGATGGCGCGTGACCCTTGTTACGCAGGATGATTATTGATTTTCACTACCCAATGCGCGTAACATGTTCTTTTGTGGAATCGTTCAGTGATTCTATTTTATAGTCGGTTCTTGTGTGTGTTCTTACGTTCTAGTGTTCTACCTGCACGTTTAAACATTTACTCCTATGCTATCGATAACGAAAAACGAGCCATTGAAACGTATAGTTATTTTTAATAGTTACTTAGGACTACAATTACAAATATTATCTAATATATATGTTCTATTGTGGAATCATTTAGTGATTCTATTTTATAGTTCTTGTGCGTGTTCTTACGTTCTTATGTTCTACCTATACATTTAAACATCTTCTATTCTATCGATAAAGAGCTATCGCTCGAAACTTCTAGCTATTTTTAATAGTTACTTAGGACTACGATTACCAAATATTATCTACTATATATCACACTATCTCGTGGTGTTTCTAAAATATATTACTGATAACAGTCACTATGAACGCACTCGATGTTGATTACATCTATGTCAGAAGTCAGCGAACTCAAAATCCGACACTCGCCCATCCGGGAAAATATATTATTTTTCTATTCAGCATTCTAGTTTTTCTGTGCTGGTTCAGTTAAGATCATTCCCATTTATTTTTCTGTCCACTTAAAATGCGTTAATTCTTAATACTATGGTGAGATTTTCTTTTATTTCACGTTTTTCAGAGACTAAATTGAGTGGAACTCTATCTCAGTTATAATAAGATTGACATTTGAACTTACTCAAATATTTCAACATATTTTGGACAACCTCTTACAAACTGATACCTGATAAAACACACTTGGGAGAACGTCGATCAGTTCTTCGCTTGAGTTATGCAAATATCGACTATGTCTACCTTTTCCCTTGATGCAATGCGCGAAACACAGAAAAACGTTCCAAGGACGCGCGCGTTTTGTATTCAGGTACTGAGAATTTATCTTTTTTTCTAAAATCCTGGTCCGACGCGAAAGAACATACCAGTCGTAGAAATTTTCCCGCTCTAAAGGTGGAAGCCTATTTATAAATGAAAATACCTAGAATTTATTAATTTTGCAATAAAATAAAGCTTGTTGTATTTTAGTAGACAGAGATGTTATCGTGCCCTGGCCATTGATGTCTGCATGCATTCCAAGCCTTGCGTTCAAGTTCACATTGACGGAACGTAACGACAGCGAATCGTATGTATCGTATTGCTGCAGTGTGCCTGAAAGCGAAACTTGGAACGCAAATTATTCAGCCCTGATTCAGCAATTGCCGCGGCAAGATAAAGGTGAATTACAGTCAGATATCTGTGTGTGAAAGTACTGAAATTTCTTGGGAAATTATAGAATGTTTACCTTATTTCGTTTTTGTATCGGTTTCTATGAAGGGGGCAAGAGGGGATAGCTGGTACAGGTTACAGAAAATAAAAAAAAAATGCATTTTACGATTTTACAGGAAATAAAATGGAAAGTTTCATTTACAGTAAAAAATAGGTTTTTACACATTACAAATAAATCAAATTTCTAATTACATTTTAAATATTTACAATATACTGGATAATTTGTGTTTAAGAATCGAAATCTTAAATTGCGCACCGTGACTGACGAATTACGGCATTTAAGGTAGAAGCCTAGCCATAATTTTTTCATTAATTCACAAATCACATGACAATGTTCATTAGTTTATTATGTACAATAATGAAGCTAATGTTCCATGGTACAATGAAATAGCATTATTTTGTGTTTTACAGTTATGCTTTTTGCGAAACATGTTCTAATATTTCTTGAAAATTGCTGTTTTTAGAACAATTCTATAGAACACAATGTTAAAGAAAAATTGTACTTTTGACACTTTTTAAAACCCAGATTTTTTAAATAATTCAGAACAACAAGTACTCCATCATTATAATATATAATTTTTTCAGCCTATGTCACCAGGCTAGATTTTGAGATATTGCATAATATCTCTGCCATAGGAACCTATGGTAAAAATGTTATAATAGTGTCAATATGGCGACTTTCCACTAAAATACAACCATAAATTTTTCGAAAAAAAAGGCTGGTGACCCCCAACTTTTTTTAGGTCAATATCCTTATATTGCCTTAGAGTACAATTTATTGCACAATGAATAAATTCTGGGTTTTTAAATTCATGAGTAGAATGCTTTATACGCTTAGAAAAAATAACGGACGAATAAAATAGCTGATTACATTTTACAACTAGCCCATGTCTACGAATTAACGTTCTTTATTTATTTGAATTACGTTATTACGAAAATAAAAACAATTGATTACAGCTTACGTAAATACCTCCTTGCCGACACTCTTCTATATTCAGTTTCACGGGGACATAGAAGCAATAAATACACATGTAATTTGATAATACTCTATGGTTTTATTGCATATATTTGAAATAATAACACGTGGTCACGCAAACGCATTCATCAATGATATTTAAAATATTGTTTAAATAATGTGCCAGTATTTCAATAATAGTGAAACACTACGTTACATGATATTGTGGGCGTATTAGCATTATGTACTGTAAAAAAAATCCCGCCCTCTAGCGAAACAACGCTGAAGTCATTGAAACCTACTTTACGTTACAGTTTTGAGTGCATTCGTCATCGTTCAGTGCTGCTAACCAAAATTGCCCTTTGTTGATTGCATCTGTGTGTTTTTTTCTCAGATTTATTACCGATACTAGAATGCTTTCAGTGTAGTAATTGCACAGGCACTGGTTTCGGTACATGCGTGTGTCCATTGATGAGCACTCAATAATTTAATACAACGAGTTTAGTCCCTTTCACATGGGTCAACGTTTCAGTTTTCTCACAGAAGGCGTTTCACACTCACAGGGCACGCTGGGAGCAAATCCACCGATGAAAAGGTTTTGGTAAAAGGACCAATTTACAATAATCTTAACAATATATGGTATTTCTGCTGTGTTCCTTTGGTGATCAGCCTAGTATTGCTAGAGAATGGAGCGTCTAGTACATTGCAACCCAATTTCATGGACAACAATGGAAAGTGTGTACATTATCACCATGTTTGCCGAGTTTGAACTAACATCGGTTTCAAGATGAAAACTGAGTAAAAGTGTGTTTAGAAAAAATATTCAGAAGAATTTACGTTAATTAAATTTCACATCAAAAATATAAATCACACTGGCGGATCTGCAATGAAACAAAAACAAACAGTTAGAAGAAATATACAACATAG